AAATCAGTCATGGTACATTCGTGGGCAAATTTTTCATCTTAAACACTAGACCATTGAGTTTAGTGACATGTGTTGATGCACAGTATAAGTATGAACGCATAATGAAGCTTTGTAGTGACATCTTGAAGCTTTGTAGGTGAAGTTTTTGTGTTAAAGCTTTGTAGGTGAAGCTTTTGTGTTGAAGCTTTTGTATTGAAGCTTTGTAGGTGAAGCTTTGGTGTTGAAGCTTTTGTGTTGAAGCTTTGTAGGTGAAGTTTTTGTGTTGAAGCTTTGTAGGTGAAGCTTTTGTGTTGAAGCTTTTGTATAGAAGTTTTGTAGGTGAAGCTCTTGTTTTGAAGCTTTTGTAGGTGAAGTTTTTGTGTTGAAGCTTTGTTGGGCACCATAAATTGATTTTGCTTCACACTATCTTGATCAAGAGTGTGTGAAGCTTTTGAGAATTGTAGTTGCTTTCCATTGATGAAGCTTTGTTTGATGTTGAAGCTTTGTAGGTGAAGCTTTTGTGTTAGTCACCATAAATTGGTTTTGCTTCGCACTATCTTGATCAAGAGTGTGTGAGGCTTTTGGCATTTGTTGTTGCCTTTCATTTGTTGAAGCTTTTGTTGGCACTATAAATTGAGTGTGTGAGGTTTTTGACATTTGTTGTTACCTTTCACTTATTGAAGCTTTTGTTGGCAACATAAATTGATTTTGCTTCACATTATCTTGATCAAGAGTGTGTGAAGCTTTTGAGAATTGTTGTTGTCTTCCATTGATGAAGTTGTTGCGTTCCCCCTTTTCTATTTTTTTATTTTTTTGGAATAGGGGGAACTGAAAATTTGAAGTTTGAAATTCCCTAGCTTGTGGAAGTTTCAAGACTTTCCATGTGGGGCTTTCTCAGGGTTTGAATTTGAATTTTAAATTTCTTTGGTCCTATTGAACTTATATAAGAAGGATAAGTCTTCATTCTTTAACTTGCCTTCATTTTCTTATTTTGTAGTAATTTTGGAAGACAGAGTGTTCTCTAGTTGAGAGGGATTCCGGCATTGCTTTGCATCATCTTCAGGTTGCTAGTTTTCTCCACTAGATTGCATGCTTTTATTCTGGTTGAATTGTTTGAGTGTTCATGTATTTGGTTAAGAACATGATGAACTGGTTAAGCTTTTTCTTCATGCCCTAGGAACTTCCTTATGTTTCGATCTTTCATGTAGTGATAGAGTTTGTTTCTGTTTGTTGTAGATGTCAAAGTTTGGAAGTCCTAGTGATAAGGGCTCCCCTAGCTCTAGCTCTAGGTTTGAGCTTGCAATGTTGGAGTCTTCAGGGCCTTTGTTGGAGTCTTGTACCAAAGAAACGTTGGATGATTTTCGCAATTGTCAAACTTTAGCCAATATTGGTTCTTCCTTCTTCATGTCAGTGGGTGAGGGGGTTGTTTTTGATGCCATACCTATATTTCGCTCTGAGTTCACAACAGACCTTTTAGAGAAAAACTTGTTAGATAACGAAAGGCAGCTTGAAGCCCTAAGGCAGTTATGTAGTATCCCCCGCAGTGTAGGAATGCATTTGGTATATCATGAAGAGTTGCCCTCTGAATCGCCCAAGGGTCATGTCATGTTCTATACCCAAATATTGTTGACCTTAGGGGTGAAATTGCATTTGCACCCTTGGTTGCAACGGATGCTATCTTTCATTGGATATGCGCCTGGGTAGCTCAATCCTGGTTTTTGGGATACCTTGATCGGGTTTTATATTATCTAGATGGAATGTGGGTTAGGTGAGCCTTCCTTCCATCAGTGGCGTTACTGCTATAAGATGCGCCCAGTGAAAGCATGCCCAGGGTATGCCGAGTGTGCATGTTGGAGTGAGAGAGAGCGTATTGTCTTTGGTAAGAAAAAGGCGTACTGCACTTGGAAAAATCATTGGTGCTTTCTTTATAATGATTGGGAGCATGTTAGGGGTGTCACACCTGAGCGACGTGTTCTTACTCACTTCCAGACTGTAGGTTGTAATGTATCCATTGTTCACATTGTTTGCTATTTGTTGTAGTTTCTTCTTGTGTCTAACATTTTCCTTCATGTAGTAACTCGAGGCAACATCAAATTGTTCGGACGGGAATTGGCTGATGTAGAGAAGGTGTTAAAGGTGCCTAAGGAGGATAAACATTTGGGCAAGCTACAACCTTTGTTTCAAAAGTACAGTTTCCAACCCCTAGTGTCGGAGTGCCAGAGACGAGCAAGTAAGTTGTATCCTTTATTTAGCCCCCTCTTTCTTTTACAAAGTTGCATTCTTTACTTTGATTTTTCTTGTTCAGTGGAGAAAGTGAGCAAGAAAGGGGGGGGACTAGCACCAAGAAAGGGAAAGCACCTATGTTAGTTCCCGTAGATGACATTTGGTTTCACAAGGGAGCTCGTAAACACCGGGTGAGGCCAGCCCCTAGACCTAAGTCGCAAGAGGAGGTCTTCAAGATCACTGCCCAAAGAGAGCTGAAGCTGAGGCTATCGAGTGTGCTGTTGCCATAGTTGCAGGGGAGGAGAGACGACTGTTGCCTCCTCTTCCTACCATCGATCCCATGTTTCCTCTAACCATGAAGTCCACTGACCTAAGAAGGTGACCCTAGCTCCAGCAGTAAGAGGAAGTATAAGGAAGAGGTTGACAGCATCCATTGGAAGGATTTGAAGGTTGCCATGCAGCCAAGTAGTTTTAGGTATGTCAATAATTGCTTGGCAGGACGTTGATCCACTGTTGACGAGCTTGGCGTGCCGTTAGATGAGAATGAATCAGATCGTGACCGGATCATCTTGTCATGTAAGTCATGACTGAGTACGACGACAGATTACGAGAGGTCGAGCGGTACAAAGCAAAGTTTAAAGAGAATAATCAGCTTGTGAATGATGCCAGAAAAATAAGCAAAGCTTTGGCTGAGGCCATTCACCTCAAAGATCAGCACTTTAAGAGTTTGAAGAGGCAAAATGGTGAGAACATGAGGCTCAAAAAACAACTGGAGGGGACTGGGAAACAGTTGGAGACAACTATCCTCGAAGTTTCCAAGGTTAAAGGGGAGTTGGATAGTGCCTTGGTTGAAGTTTCTGAGCTAAAGAGGAGTATCCCAACTGAGAGGGACACTGTCGTGCAGGAGTTCTTAGGTTCCCAGGCCTTTTAAGATGCTTTTAACCTCACTGCATTTGGGCGGCTAATTTTGAGAAAAGGAAATGGATGGCCGTTCTTGAGCATTATGATAATGGAAGCATTATCCAAAAGTACTGTGATGAGATGAATGAGTACCGACAAAGAGGTGAAGCCTTCGTCCTCACAGAGTGTTGGTGAGCAGTCTCAAGAGAGTGAGGATTGTTCTGGAGATACCGAGGATGGTGGCGATGGCGATGCGGTTGAAACGCAGAGTGATATTGTTAAGGGTTTGGCCTCAGATGAGGATGACTCATAGTGCCTTTTTTTTCTGCATGTATTTTGAATGTACTAGTTTGTTGTTTGTGTGGCATATGCCATGTACTCTAGATGTACTAGTTTGTTGTTTGTTTGGCATATGCCATGTTATAAGGCTGAGGGTTTTTTGTTTGTGTATGTTTGCAACCTTGTACTGTGTGCTTTGATGTTATTTGCCAAGTATTTGTACTATCATTGATGAATGTTTGGTTATGTTTGAATAGATCCCTTATTTGGATATAAGTCATGTTGACATATATATATAGACTTTATTTTATGTTGTAAGCATTCATGTTGAAGCTTCAAACCTGAGCGTTTCAGTGATAGGTATGTAAGGGAGTTAAGACCAAGTTATCTAAATCACATTTTCATTGAATTGATGCCAAATGGCCTTCATTACATAGGATGCCGAATGACCGTACCTCAACACTTATACAGTGTGAGTTTACTTGTAATAGTACTTCAAGTGATCAGCGTTCCATAGATGGCCTAGGGTCTTGCCATCGGAGCTCCTGAGCTTGTAGGAACCAGAGCGACTGATGCCAATAACTTCAAACGGTCCATCCCAATTTGGGCTAAGCAGTGCCTTAACTCGGGACTCTGTCGCAGAGTAGTATTTTCTTCAATACCTAGTCCCCCACTTTGAAAGAGCAAGGTTTGACTCTTGAGTCATAGTAGTTGGAGATACGCTGCTTGTAGGCGACATTCCTTAAGTGAGCCTGGTTTCTGTGTTCCTCGACTAGATCCAAGTTGAGGGTGAGTTGTTTGTCATTTTCACTTTGCATGTAGTTCTGGACTCGGAACGTTGCTTGCTTAAGCTTAACTGGGACAACAGCCTCTGTACCAAAGGCAAGTGAGAATGGAGTTTCTCTTGTTGAAGTCCGATATGAAGTGCAGTATGACCAAAGAACTTGGGGTACAAATTCTGGTCAATAACCTTTAGCCTTGTCAAGCTGGTTTTCAAAGTACGCTTGATTATTTTGTTGATGGCCTCAACTTGTTTGTTAGACTGGGGATGAGTTAGGGAGGCAAAACATAAGTTGATGTTGAACTTAGAACATAACATCCTGAACTTCTTGTTGTCGAACTGTCGCCTATTGTCCTGTGACTATCGCATTAGGAATGCCAAATCTACAAAGGATGTTCTTCCATACGAAGTCTTCTATTTTTGCCTCAGTAATGGTTGCCAAGGGTTCTACTTCGGCCCACTTTGTGAAGTAGTCAACTGCAACGATTACATAGCGGACCTTGCCCTTTCTTGCAGGCATTGGGCCAATCAGATCAAGTCCTTATTAGGCGAAGGGCCAAAGGTTAATCATAGGAGTAAGATGCTTGGGAGAGGAGTGATGAATAGTTACGTAGCGTTGACACTTATCACATGAGAGAGATATTCTGATGGCATCTTGGTGGAGTGTTGGCCAGTAATATCCTTGGCGAAAAGCCTTGTGTGCTAGGGATCGAGATCCTAGCATGATCTCCATAGACTCCTTCATGTATTTCTTGAAGGACAATTTCTGCTTCCGCAGGTGTAAGGCACCGTAAGTATGGTAGGTTAAAACCTCGCTTGTAGAGTTGGTCATTAATGATCAGGTAGCGGGTAGACTTGTATCAAATCTGCTTAGCTTAGACTTTATCATTTGGGAGGTGCCATGAACAAGGTATTTATAAATTGGGGTGATCCAGCTATTCCCCTGTTGCAAGTTGCACACTTCTGCGACCATGATGCTTGGTGTTACCAACAGTTCGACATGAATTTTTCTCCCAATCTTGTTTTCCACTGCTGAGGTGAGGTGAGCCAAAGCGTCTGCATGACTGTTTGCCGTTCGAGGGACTTGGGTGATCTGGTAGTGGAAATGCTTGAGCAAAAGATGTGTTTGTGCAAGGTACGCTGCCATGGAGTTATCCTTAGCGTCAAAGTTGTTCGTGACCTGGTTAACCACCAATTGGGAGTCACTGAAGATATTAATTTGTTTAACTCCAAGGTGTTTGGCCAAACGTAAGCCTGCTAAAAGGGTCTCATATTCGGCCTCATTGTTTGACACCTTGAATTTGAAGCGAAGAGCATACTCCATTGCCACTTTGTCGGGGGTAGTCAGGACTAGTCCTGCTCCACAGCCCTGTTGGTTGGATGAGCCATCAACATATAAAGTCCATACTGGGAGTGTTAGTTCTACCTTTCGGGTTTCCAGGGGTGATGAAGCCGCTGCCTCAGGTGTAGGAGAAATGTTAACGGGATAAGTGAATTCGGCGATGAAATCTACAACTGCTTGGCCCTTTTTAGCTGGCTTTGGGTGGTAGAAGATGTCAAACTTTCCCAGTGCTATGGCCCATTTGATCATTCGCCCCGAAGTGTCAGGACTCTGAAGTATTTGTCGAAGGGGATGATTGGTAAACACGATGATGGAGTGTGCTTGGAAGTAAGGGCAAAGTTTCCGAGCAGACATGACTAATGCTAGAGCTAATTTCTCAATGTTGGAGTATCGTGTCTCCGCATCTTGTAGAGCCTTGCTAGAGTAGTAGACAGGTCGTTTGATATTACCATCCCTACGAATGAGGACGGAACTAACTACTGAAGTTGAGACAGATAGATAGACAATTAGGATGTTGCCAACTTCAGGTTTGGAAAGCAGATGGGCTTTACTCATGTACTCCTTGAGGTACTTAAATGCTTCACATTCATTGGTCCACGTAATGTACTTCTTACTTCCCTTAAGTGCTTTGAAAAAAGGAGCACATTTGTCTGTGGCCTTAGAGATGAACCTGGTCAAGGTTGCCACCTTGCCAGTAAGGCTCTGGATGTCTTTTGAGGTTACTGGTTCTTTCATGTCCATAATTGCTTTGATCTTTTCGGGTTAGCTTCAATGCCTAATTGGCTAATCATGAAGCCCAAGAATTTTCTAGAGCCCACATCGAAAGCGTATTTGTTGGGGTTTAACCACATTCGATACTTTTTCAGGATGGAGAAGGTTTCAGACAAGTTTGCAATGTGTTGGTCGGACATGTTTGCTTTTGACTAACATATCATCAACATAAACTTCCATGCTTTTCCTAATCTGTTCAGCGAACATTGAATTGACTAATCTTTTATAAGTCGCCCCTGCATTCTTTAGGCTGAATGGCATGACTTTATAACAATATAGTCCTCTATCAGTGGTGAAGGCTATGTGTTCTTGGTCTGAAGGTTCATGAGGATTTGATTGTACCTTGAGTAAGCATCCATGAAGCTCAAGAGTTCACACCCTGCTGTAGAGTCTATAAGTTTATCAATGAGAGGAAGGGGAAAGCTATCATTCGGGCATCCTTTGTTTAAGTCGGTGTAGTCGATACACATTCTCCACAAGATTTTTTGAAGCAAAAGACTTTCCTTGGTCGGATTTTTTTAATAAGGACCACATTTGCTACCCATGTTAGATAATTGACTTCACGAATAAAGCTTATGCTTTTGAGTTTTTCAACTTCTGCCTTCATTGCTTTATATCGTTCAGCATCATAAGATCTTCGTTTCTGTCTCACACGACTTGGTCTTGGGATCAATACTCAAGTGATGACAGATGATATTGAGAGAGATACCTAGCATGTCCTCGTATGACCAGGTGAAGACTTCAGTGTTCTCTTGCAAAAAAGAAATCAATGCCAACCGAATGGGTGGTGACAAAGTGGTGCCAATCTTCATTATGCGATCTGGATAATCTTTTGAGATAGAGACCTTTTCCAACTCTTCAATAGGTTGTGCTTGCTGGGTGAAAGAGTTATCTCGAGGATCGTTGGGTTGATTGTTACCACGTGAATATTCAAGTTGGCTTTGTCTGAGTTGGTCTTGATAACTTGGTCATGTATAAAAAGTGTTTCTTTGGGTGCATGCAAGTGTTGTTGCTTGACTGAAGTGTTGTAACATGATTGTGCACTAAGTTGATCTCCTCTGATGTAACCGTTGCCATAGGGGGTTGGAAATTTCATCAACAGCATATGTGTGGATACCATGGCCTTGAGATCATTGATGCCTGTGCGTCCAAAGATGACATTGTATGCCGTTGGGCAGTTAACCACCAAGAAGTTAGTGGTGATGGTAGCTGTGTACGGGCCTGTACTGATGGTTAAGGGTAAATGTACGCTCCCTAAAGGTTGCACGACATCACCAGAGAAGCTTATTAGAGGAGAAACCGAGTGATCGAGCAAGTGTTCATCTACATTAAGTGTTTTGAAAGCTTCAGCAAACATGATATTGACCGACTGCCCCCGTGTCTACCAGGATTCATCGTACATCAAAGTTAGATATGTGAGCTTCCACAATTAGTGGGTCGTTGTGAGGATAGATGATACCTTTTGCTTCCTCAGGGTAGAAACATATTGGATCCCAGTTAGGCTTTTGGTACTTGCCTCACCTGATGTCTTCCATGTGAAACACTTGGTGGCCAGGCTTCAACATTCGTTCGTTGTTTTTCATGGCCCTGTTGGAAGATTTAGATATGGGTATGCCACCGCTTATGGAATATATCACTTTCACTTGGCGTTGGTTGCGGTTATCTCTTAAAGGGTGAAGGAGGAACTGGTCAATTTTTCCTTCACGTGCCAAAGCTTCAATATGATCACGGAGGGTGATACATTTCTTGCCGTCAAGGCCATTATACTCGTGGTAACCACAAAACATGCATGTGTTCTTCGTGGACTTGAAATCTGGCTCCCTCGGCCTTGGCTTTGGTATCAAGTGAGTTATACTGGGGTAAATAGCCGTGCATGTGGCATTCAAAGGTGTGTATGTCTTATACCTCGGGGTAGGACCATTCTTGACACATGTTTGGCCCACTGCATTGACTGCCTGGGGGCGGGTATTATCGTAGCGATACCTTTGGTTATCGCGATAGTGCCCCTTACTTTTTTTATTAAAATGAGACTGGTGAGGATGAAAGTCTTTCCTCTTGCCCTGAGAATGATACGCCTGTTAACTTGGTGAGGTATTAGGTAGGGCAGGGGGAAGCATCGCTGCTGTTTGGAAGGTTAAGGTCTTCTCATTCGGTTGGATTTGGCTTTCACTCCCCATTTGCTGATAAGGGATGGCTGTAGGGAGTGTCCCTTGATATGTCCTTGCCTCGGCGGAGGCATGGTTATAAGCCTGTGCTATTACCTCATAGTAAGTCTTCCAAGTGTTAGCATTGATCATGTATTTGAAGAAATAGTCGCGTAGGCCTACCGTGAAGGCTTTAAGGGCGGTCTTGTTATCTGCCTCAGCATAGCGAGAATACTCATGGCTAAAGCGGCCGTCATACTTTCGTAGTGACTCATCTGGCTTCTGGCGAATAGTGTACAAGTCATCTAAGGAATGCAAACGATCTGTCTGGAAGATGTGTTGAGAGACAAATAGTTTCCTCAATTCCTCAAGTGAGTCTATCGTCTCTTGTGGAAAACAGCAATACCTATTCAGAGCTCCATCAGAGAGGGTAGAGGGGAAGTGAAGACATCGTTCTTCGTCAGTGTGCATTCGGTATGCCATGGTGGACTCAAAGATGTTAAGGTGTTCAATCGGGTTCTCTCTTCCAGTGTACAGTTGTAAGCCAAGCTTCTGCTTTGTCTTTGCTTGGAGGGGGTGTCGAGGATCCTCCTTGTAAGAAGGCCAGGCCTAGGTTGGTTCCAGTCAGGTATTTCGGCTTGACATTCGGCCTTCAACTTGTTTACTTTTTTAAGAAGTTGTAGGACAAGGGGGTCCTGAGTGGAGTTAGGTACTGCTGGATCCTTCTTCCGTAAGTCTCCATTTGCTTTTGGAAGTGGGAAAGCTTGGTTAAGGGCATGGGATTTTTCTTTGGACTCACCGTACTGACTTCCAGGGTGAGCCTGTCGAAACGCCCCCGAGATTGGCAATTGGCTTGGGGGTCCTGTACCTTCATATTCCTCTAGGACATGTCGCTCATTCCCTAGATTGGCAATTGGCTTGGGGCATGAGAGAGGACCGAACCTCTCAGAAACCCTTGGATCATTGACCTTCGAGCTTATGTGGATAGGGTTCTCTCGACGTTGCCTCAGGAAGTCCCGACAATTGCGATAAGCGACTTTTGATCCTTCTACTCCTTCTGCAAGAAGGTGCCTTTCTCCACTTCTCCTACTTCAGGTCGAAGCAGCTGGGTCGAGAGAGGTCTCATGTTGATCAGCACCTTGATAAGTAACTCGCTCCCCATTAAGGATATCCATGTTGAAAGCAGGTAATCCCCTGTGTTGGGGGGTACCCAGGTGGTGGTTGACTTCCCCGGGGCGATGAGTTCGTGTGTTTGAGTATGCCTAGCTTCATGGAGCACTCCAAAGAGCTTCTTATATTGTTCCTGGAAGATCTCATTCTTTATCACTATCTTGTTGTTCTGAGCCTCTAGCTCATCGACTTTAGCCTAAAGAGCAAACCTCTTTCGTTCCTTCTTTCATTTCTTTGCACTAAGTGCGAGGGGGGTGTCGTTCTGCGTGCTGTGGCTCCCTTCATTCCCCATGTTGGAGAGGCGTGCCTGGTCGAAAGAAAGTGTGCGAATGGTGGAAACCAGCTTGACAAAGCTGGAGAGAGTAGGAATAAGTGTGTTTCCCACAGACGGCACCAAATGTTGATGCACAAAATCGGCAAGGACTTTGGTACAACACAAGTTTGTGACCTTCGTTAGATTGCTCTGGTCATTAGTGTGGATAAGTATGTAAATGAATAGAGATAGGGAAGTAAACAACACAAGATGTACGTGGTTTACCCAGATTGGCTACATCCACGGAGTAGAGGAGTTCTCATTAGTTGTGAAGGGTTTACACAAATACATAGGTTCAAGCTCTTTTTTAGTGAGTTTTAGTGAATAGTTTAGTACAAATGACATTCGGGGTTATTGTAGAAGAATGATCCCCTTTTATAGAAGAGAGTTTCTAGCTTTGTTCTGACATTGACACGTGTCATGTTATGATTGGCCTCTGATATCGACACGTGTTGCGCTGTGATTGGCCTCTGATACCGACATGTGTCACGTTGTGATTGGCCTCCTGGTTAGAGGAAAAGTCTTGTGGGTCCTTGACGGTATACTATTAATCGGTGCTTAGTAGTTTCGGGATTGGTTAAGTATGGTACAAACAACATGAATACCAACAACAACCTAGTTGTTTGAGCTAGGCTTATGCGTGACCCGGTGCAATACAAGGAGGCTAATATTATTAAGGTCATCACTTAGCCTATAGGCAATATCATTCGAGTGAATGATGTCATTCTGCATTTGAATGGGCTCTTAGTCAAGGTTTTTGTTGAGGTTGACTTGAGTTTCCCACTTAAGAGGGTCAGAGAGAATGATCACCCTATTCTTATAAGCTACGAGAAAATTTTTGAGGTTTGTTATTATTGTGGGAGGCATACGTTGGATAATCATGCTTGCCTTGAGTTGGAAAAGGATGATGGTTATTTCTTAATTGATAGGGTCTGTTGGAACCAAATTTGCGCATTGTCGTGACTACAAGCAACCTGCAAAACAGTAAACAACCGTGAGCAAGCCTAAGACCAAGGGAATGGTGTGCTGGCCAAAAGCTCTCCCATGGTCAATTTAGTGAATGATTTTAGAATTAAGCGGTGGGCAAGAAAATTCAAGTGTTTAGATTACTTTTTCATAGATGAACCCTAGATGGGTGTATTTATATAGTGGTGGAGAAAGACCTTTTAGGATAGAATCCTCGTTCTAAGCTGGGAGAATCCTAAAGGATATATAGAAGTAGATATTGCGTCATCTTAGGAGTTATGATTACTTGCGGCACATACCAATTGCTAGATTGTAGGAACTTCAAGACTTATAGGATTTGATTGTGTCCATATATATATATAAGATTGCGTGTCTTA